TACTAATAGAAAAATACGGGAGATGTTGAATTGTTTAATTACAAAAGTTAGATTTGATGATCGTAAAATCATAAGACGTGGAAATCGTAATATGAGATACCCAGGGTATTCCTAATATGAAATAACCTATGCTCTTATGTTATAGTGAAAATCGTTGTTAAAGTATAAATGTTATTGTACAATAATAAAAAAGACAACCGAAATGAACGTCGAGTACCTATATTTGCGATGCTTGATTCCAATTATCTGAAAACGAGTTCTGGATGTAATCTATCGCATGCTCATTTTTCACGCACGCTGGCTGTGTTTGTTTGTATTTTATAAACATTAAATAAAGTTTTTTTAATTGCAATACTGATATACTTTGCGTTTTACTTTTGATCGGGATGTCTCATATTAGGAATTTTTTGATTTTGACTTTGCGATTTGCTCACTTTTTACATTTCTTTAATTTAAAAGAAAAATGGAATTTGAATTAAATTTTATATAACGTTATTTTAAAGCTTATTAAATTCCCTTCAAAATGACCTATTATTTTTTTAAATTCTGTCTATAGACTTCTAACATTTACCTAAAATGAACTCGGTATCTCATAATAGGGGCCTTTCCTCTATATATATTTATATATATATGTATATGTATATATATGTATATATATATGTATATAAACATATTAATATTTAATATTTAAACGTATCTAATATATTTAATCTTACCATTTATTGTTATTCTATTCTTTCTTATATTTGACAAAATATATTATTTGTATTTGATACAATTCTCATGAAATTTTTTTATTATATTCAGCATAAAATTAAAACTTCGGGGTACGAGTCGGCAAAAATAAAATCCCGCATCGTTGCGACAGAAATGCGACGAAACAATACATTCGTGAAACGTCCACGTGTTATCTACCGCAATATCGCAATGCATAATTCCTAATGTGTATATAGATACCGTTCCGTGCCACACGTTATTCGCATGCGAATGTGGCAACACATCGCGCGCGTTCGCGCGAGCTCACATCATAGAAGAGGAAAGCAAGAAAGAAATAGCTCTTCTTTCGGCCGAACTGTACTGAACTTAACTCACGCGCGCGTGTAATTGCGCGAGTTAGAGATATGTGCGGGTTGTATGTATCGGGCTAGATATACGGTACCTGGCCTTTACGCTGACCCATGCTTTCACCCGGTAGCGTCTTCGTTTCGTCGACTCGCTTCGTCCTGCGTCCCCCGTACTAGCTTATAGCCCTCATCGCAGATTCGTCCTCGCTGATCACCTACTTAGGCAGCCATGATGTAATATCTGTACGAAGGGATATTTGCAAATAACACTGAATCTCGTCGTTATTGAATTTTTCTGCGAGATCCTCCAGACGCAAATCTCATGATTGTTAAATTGTTTCCCTCTTTGAGAAGAGCTTCCCTCTTTCCATCAAAATAAATTATTCCAGAAACAATTATAATTTGCCAATGAAAAAATTTCATCCTTGAAGTTTAATAGTAATAATAATATTATAATAATAATTTTATAATAATAATAGTTTATTTTATGTGCGAGATGATAATGATAGTTGACAGGATAGATAAGTGTGCTGTGCGAACATGATGGAGATACACGCGAAAGATAAAACTTTAGAGAGGCGGCTATGATGTCTATCAGGAAATTAAAGAAAGAGTTAATGAGACGTTCATAACTTAAAAAACAACTAGAATGTGAACAAAACAGAACATGGGAAATACGATAAACTCATTTGTAATTTTAAACATCTCGAATCGCCGCCATATCGCTGATATCTTTTCTTATCATTGATATATGCTATATATTCTAATCGAAATCAACAACAACAATGATTCAGGATAAACTTTCCTTTTATTCTGTGTCATAATGAATAGACATGCTCGTTATAAAGTATAAAAGGAAAGTTTATCCTGAATCATCGTTGTTGTTGATTTAGATCATCTTGTCAGAATACAGCATAAATCAACGGATTATAGGCTCAATACATTAGTTCATAATTCTGATTCTATAATAATAAAAAGCGAAAAGAAAAAATACTAAATTTTTAAAGTAAATATAAAATAAATTTCTGTGGATTATACAATAATTTTAACATGTTTTTATTTTTGTTTTATTATGCTATTAACGACAACAAATTTAATATTTTTACGCGATTTAAATGCGATCAAAATATACGAATTTGTAATAACAATTTAAATATAATTTACTTATCTAAACTCTTTGGATGTTTATTCACTATAAGTACCGTGCCATATTCTTATTTGCCTAACTTTTTGTGAATTATTTAATTTCTTATTTAATTTCATTACATTTTTATTAATAAAAAGAATGAATGAATGAAAGATATAACATTTACAATAGAGAGAGAGAGAGAGAGAGAGAGAGAGAGAGAGAGAGAGAGAGTAACATATAATAATGTATAATACGTAATCAGTATAATAGATATATATGTATAATAGAATTAGCCATCTAAATGATTAAAAATAGAGCGAGGAACTAGCAAAGGCTTGTCGCGTCGTAAGCAAAAGCAAAGAAGAGCACACCGGAGTCTAGCAAATTACGCCAAAGTTACATTAAGGTTTGTTAGATTACGGAGATAGATTAGAGACCTGTATGAGAAAGCAGGATAATATAGGTATCTCTGCCACGCTAGCAGACCTCGTGTGCACTACTTTGGCGTTGTTCATTATCTCTCGCAATATTTCGTAACGCAACTCTGGTTTGCAAACGGTTACGAAACCGAATTATTTCGAAGCTCGCAATCAATTAATAAAATATCGAGTGAAGATCTAATTAAGAAAAGCGAATGGCTTTTCCTGGGTGTCTTGTGAATTATACTTTAGCGTTGTGGTGTGCATGATGCAACAGTTAGCTATTTGTTATTACGTGATTATGCTACTCATGGATGATCACTTTGTCATAACAGCGCGGCAGTGTCTTAATTACCACCATTTTTCATTACGATCATTATGATTCATCGTGACAGTGATGATCAGATCGATTAGAAGTTAGATATACATTTCAAAGATTAAATAAAATTCACAGCTAGTATGTAACAATTAAATTAATTTACTATCATAAAAGGATATAGTTTTGTTTTATCAAGAAAAAAATAAAATATTTTTACATTGATAGGACATATTTAATTCTTTAAAGTGGAATCTCACTCTAAAGAGTAAAAATTGAGCCAGTCTTGAAAAAGAATGGCTCAATTTTTTATCTTTAAAAATGAAAGATTAAGAATGAGGCTCTTCAGAATGAGATACTCCCTAAAAGTTTTACAGAGAAAGAAACAAGATGGAAATTAAAAACAAAAAAAAGAATTATTCATAAATTATTAATATATTTTGCCAAATTTATCCGATTGTGCCATACCATATATACAAGAAATACATAAAATATGTCTGTCAGCATACAACTTCCTATCTAAAATGCCTTTGTCAGGTTGCTGATGTAACGCGTTTCAATATGCAACCAATCAATGTAATCGCGATAATTTACACACGTTACTAAAGTTATACATCTCCTACGATTCCATCTTAACGTCGCATCTGAATACCGCGAAACTGGACGAACGTACGGTACCGTGCCATGTACGTACTAATCTCTCGGCACCTTTCACCGAGCGCGTGTCATCACGGTCCATCATATTCGGAAGGATTGTATAGCGTTCGCTCGCAAATCGTGATCTTAACGTGCCCTCGTCTTGAGAGTTCTTGCCGCACGATCTGCGAGCTATAATATCGTGTCCACGACGACGTTCGCTCGACACATAGAACCCGGCGTTAAAAAGTGCCCTGGTCTTACGTAAGGAATGTACGCGGGAAAAAGCCACGGTTCTCCCCCCCGTGCAAAGATCGCATAATTGCGTTTTTTTTACTGGTGCCTCAAACTACTCTGGAGAATATTACCCTCGTAATGACGCGCGTAAAGCGCGACCAGCAATTCCGCTTTTCTTACATTCCTCATGAAGAAGGAAGCGACCCGGAGGCTTCCACTGGAATCTCGAACATACGTGGATCTTGATTAACCGAGATCGACAGCCGCTTATTAGCTGTTGCAACAGAGACGCCGCGAGGGATATCAATAATTCAGATTATTTATCAAGACTAACGATCGCGCGCGAGCGCAAAAAAATTTGTGAGAGTGATTGAAACTGGTATTCATAATCCGTTCTTATTTCAAGACTGTCTTAACTAATGTCTTAAGATGCTAATATGACTTCTGATTGATTCATAACATTTTAAGACTATATTCAAAATAGTCTCAAATATATATATATAAGAATTGATTATATCAATCGGACTGAGTCATAGCAAATGAAAAGATTTAGAAATCTTTTGAATCTTGACAGTGCACGGAGAAAAATCTGTTACGATTTTGGC